AATACATTTTCGTCACGAGTTTAATAGATTATAACTTTTGGCACTCCGGTGAGGGTAACAAATCAGTGCCAGAGGTAATAATTTCTGCAGAGTTTTGCAGTATCACCGACGATATAAACACAAGTAAGTACATACATACATATGGATTTAGTTGCGTCTGGAGCAACCGCGTTTCTTAATATTTAAACCAACGTTGGCATAACTCTATAAGCAAGTTCCCTGCGCTGGCAGAATTCCATATGCAAGTGCCCCGCGCTGGGCATGACCGATTTAAACAATAAAACTCACCGAACAATGTAGCTGGAATGTTGTAGGGTTGAGAGTTGTTGGCGACCAATGGCGTTGAATGTGCTGTGGGCGTCGTTGCTGATGTTTGGCAATCTAAAAGAAATAATTACATTATAATCAAATGAAACTGTTAACAATGGTTAAAGGCTGACTTCCAAGTTGGTATATTGCAAAGCATCAGCCTCGTTTATTTCTAAACTATAACTGATGGAAATGACCAATTTGCCCAACTAAGTTCCAATTCGGCGTTTGAACATGGTTGCGCTTATTGCACTTTTCCATTAGTTATATTTAGTTTAGAAATAAAAGAGGCTAATGCTTTGCAATATACCAACCTGGAACTCAGCCAAACTATGTTAAATTGGGAAACTTTAGTCTTCTTACCTTCAAGGTATTGATGGCTTAAGTCTCCTGCTAATGTTTGGCTATCTATGGATATATAAAATATACATATATGTATTTAATAAAAGAAAAATTACATTTAATCAAATTAAATTGCTTCTTACCTCCAAAATTTTGCGCGAAATTGATGTTTTTCTTCGCAGCCTACTAGAATCAAATTTAAAATTCGCTGTCAAATTTCGCCTGATTTTCACTTGCTCGCTCTAACGCATATAATTCTTATTAAGAGTGCGAATTCTTATAGCTACGCTGCTCTTACTTATGGAAACTTTTTTCGACAACTTTTGAGTGTGTGGGTCAGATGACAAAAAAGTTGGGTATATGTTGGTAAATCATTTGAATTTCAGGGGAAAGTGGTGAGCCGTGGCTGGCAGGGAACAAAGTCGCGATTCCGATTCTTCACGGAACTGAAAGCGATAACTGCATAATTCCACCCAGATGCGAAGTTTCAGACTTTTCAATTTTGGAAGTTTCCACGGAGCCTCTGTTTGTAGAATCACAAGAGATTGATAACGGTGTATTCACAGCACGATGCATAGTTAGTACAAGCAACCCAATCGTCAAAGTCATAAATACCACAAATGACATAAAATACGTAAAGAACTGTAACATTCGGACTGAAAAACTCTCTAATTTCAATGTATATTCCGTTAACAAGACGATAAACGATGACAACCGGACAAAAGAACTGATTAACGTTTTGAAAAAACAAATTCCTAAGTACGCTAAAAGCAAACTACTTGACTTGTGCATAGATTACGCAGACATATTTGCACTTCCCGACGACAAAATGACGTTAAATAACTTTTAAGAACAAAAACTAAGATTGACAGACAATAACCCAGTTTACATTAAAAATTACCGATTACCATATTCCCAGCGTGAAGAAATAAATCGCCAAGTTAACAAGTTATTAGAAAGTGAATTCATCGAAGAAAGCTATTCGAATTATAATAGTCCTCTAATTGTTCTTCCAAAAAAGATATTAATGGCAAAAAAGCGTACCGAATGTGTGTAGACTTCCGCGTTGTTAACATGAAATTGATTGCCGATAAGTTCCCTCTTGCGCGAGTAGACGAAATTTTAGACAACCTTGGTCGAGCAAAGTATTTTTCAACCTTAGACCTTTTTTCAGGGTTTCATCAAATCCCTTTACATATTGATTCACGTGACGTAACATCTTTCAGTACGGATCGAGGGGCATTTAGATGGAAAGTATTACCATTTGGGTTAAATGTAGCACCAAACTCATTTTCGCGCATGATGACAATTGCTTTTTCCGGTATTCCGCCCAATGTGGCATTTCTTTACGTTGACGATATAATCGTTATTAGGTGTAGTGAAACACATCATATTAAAAATTTAGCAAAAGTTTTTGACACTTGTCGAAACTTCAACCTAAAACTCAACCCGAACAAATGCAATTTTCTTTGGCCGGAAGTTACATTCCTGGGCCATAAATGTTCAGCCAAGGTCTGTTGCCAGACGACACCAAAGTAAACGCTGTTAAAAAATACACAAAAGCAACTGACAAGGACGCGGTTCGACGTTTCGTCGCGTTTGCTAATTATTACAGGCAGTTTATACCAAATTTTGCGTCGCTGGCAGCGCCTTTAAATCAATTAGGCAGAAAAAAGGTTGAATTTATTTGGAACAGTCCTTGCGACAAAGCTTTTGAGTCTTTAAAATCAGCGTTAATTTCCCCAAAATTGCTACAGTACCCAGACTTCACAAAACAACTTATTATTACGGTCGATGCCTCGAAAGTTGGGTGCGGTGCTATATTGAGCCAAAAACATGATGGTGATGACTTGCCAATATGTTTTGCTTCTAAATCTTGCAATAAAACAGAGCAAAATAAGCCAATTATTGAACTTGAACTCTTAGCTATATATTTTGCAAACAAGCAGTTTCGACCGTATGTTTACGACTATCACTTTACGGGGAAATCTGACCATCGACCCTTAGTTTATCTCTTCAACATGAAGGACCCGTCGTCAAAGCTTGCTAGAATACGTCTAGAACTTTCAGAGTATGATTTTACAATTGAGTACATTAAAGGCAAAACAAATGTCGGTGCAGACGCATTATCACGGATTACAATGAACGAACTAAAAGACTCTACTAAACAAGTATTAGCGGTAAAAACACGATCAATGAAGAAGCAAACACAATTAGAGTACGATAATGAATGCAGTGACAATATAACGTTACAGGTTTACGACAAATTTTCATATAATTACTCAAAAAAAATACCCCGGGTAAA